AGGTACCAAGCATCATTAACCAAATTATTACCATGCTTTTATATTAAGGTATATACAATACAAGTAATTTATTATATTTTTATTATATAAACTAATAAAAATATATTTCATATTTGTTCCAGGCTTATTTTTTTTATTTAAATTTGTAAAATATTTTATGACTATATATAGACTAAAGTAACCAAAAGGGGGTCTGGGGACGAAGCCCCCAGTAATTTTGTAATTCCCCCTCCACTTATGAAAATCCTGGCTACGCCTATGAATCCAGCAATGGAAAAAATTCTTTCGCTGAGTGTATTGGTTGCAGGTACGCAAAGAACCTTCCTAGATGAATTAGCAAACATAGGAAGTTCCAGTCGCTTTTTCTTCCAAAAGCAACGCATCCTCTTCTGGAATAATATTTTGGCTGAGCAAAATATGGCATTCTTGTTTAAGATTAGTAATATTGTTATAATCGTTAATAGGAAGGGAATGTTTTCGAGCTAATTTCGCTATATAAGAGCATGATGTACCATCCTCGACTTAATTTCACGCTGAGCATTTATATCATGCTCTAAAAGTTTTAAATGTCGTATTAGAAATTGCAATGATGTCGTATAATTTGAATTAAAATATTGTTAAACAATATTGAGATTTTGAAATCTTAGATCAAGTAGAGTTGCTAATATCTAATGTTTAAAATATAATTTTATTAATAAAAATATAAAATAACTTAAAGTTCAGTGATCAGAAACCTATGGTCAAGCTTTTTTTTCATATTTTCTTTTAAGCATATTATATCTGAGCAATCAGATTTATTGATTTGTATATGAGCTTCTATTTCGCTGCGAAATAATATCCGTAAGTTCTTTTTGGGAGGAAAGAAATTCCACCGACTGGTATGGATCAGAATCATCAAAATCCAAGATATTACCTGTCTCATAAATTGACTGCATACATTTACCATAAGCCTCAATTTCACATTCCAAATCAGCTACTCGATATTTGAGGGCTAAAATAATTTCTCTAATTTTTTTAATGAGAATATCAATCTTGGTAACTTTTTTTATGCCATTAACTGTAACCAAATTATGAAGTCCATGCCCTAAGCATAAATGATGCTCATAATCCCCTAATCTGACGCTTCTTTTGACATTGGCCCCAGCATCAGTTACCATTTGTATTATTTTGGCTTTTAAATGAAACTCCTCTTCAATACTATCAATCTCAGATAATATTGTTTCCCTAGTATGCTTTTGAGTCACATATTTATAGTCGAGGGTAAAATATTTTAAATCAAAATTTTCATCTAAATGATGAAGACTTAATGTGATATAATTTCGACGCTTGAAATGATCGGTCCACAAATCAAAAGTGATAGAACAAAATTTTGGTCCAGAGTCAATCAAATTTAAAACATGCGCCTTTATAGATAAATAAACATCGTCTAGTTCCAGCGTCTACATGAGCGGAAGCGGTAGGAACAGTTTGCATCCTATTTTTTTGAGGGGGTAGGGGGTAAGCTGCTTTAATTGGGGTAGGATAAATTTTTGGGGGTTATCTATTAAATTTTGAGATGAAATAGGACAAAATTTATTGCTGTAAAAATTAATACTTTTATTATAGTATTATTATAATATAATTCATCGACCAAATCTATATATTGCAAACAATCATACACATTTTTTCCCAAATAAACTATCCTTTTAAATGTAATTTAAAAAGTTTAGATATTTCAGCAAGCTCATAATGGCATAATAATTAATTCATTGTAAATAATGGAAGTTTTAATTTAATTTATTATCTAAAAAATAAATTCTTTATATTTGCAAAATATCGATAGTTGGTAGTAGAGATATATTAATTTAAGTAATCCTTTATAAATTCTTTGAAAAGAGTATCAATAAATAAATAGGTTAGAATAATGATCGGCGGCGGTTATTTTTAGGGGGGGGGGGTGTAGGCAAAGATTTTTGAAGGGGGTTTGCATCCAATAAAAATCCTGTCATGTAGACGCTATCTAGTGCATCCCGAATAATGGTTGTCCTATTTGGCAATTCTGACCAGGAATCAATTATCTTATATTTCTAATTTTTGAACAATTTATTTTTTAATCATTTTATATAAATTTTAAACCTTTAGAAAGTCTGTCATTCCTTTATTGTTTATAGAATCAAATGGCATTAAATCTAAGTAGACATCAAAACATAATTTCGCCCTATTAGATTTCATATTTATTTTAAACATTAAAAAGATATCTAAAAACATTAAAATAGTTAGGGCTGTAATGAAACAAATTATAAATTAGATAGAGTTTTAACTTTCAAAATAAAGCTTTACATAATTAATTTAATAAATTGTATATTAAGTTTATATTTTAAAAGATATTTAAAAACAAAATAATTAGAGCTGGAATGAAACAAATTATAAATTTGATTTAGTTTTAACTTTCTAATAAAGTTTTAAAAAATTATATATTAAATAATACTTTAAAAAGATATTTAAAAAACATCAAAATAGCAAGGGCTGGAAAGAAAAAAATTATAAATTAGATTTAATGTTAGTATTCAAATTAAAATAATAATAATTTAATATATAAATATAATTAATATGCTTTCTAAAAATTAAGCACGCTGCGCTGCCGCCATAATAAAAATCGGCGGCGAGCCGGCTCGCGCCGCTAATCTCAATCGGCGGCTTTTCCGGCGTGAATAAAAATACCGGCGGCGCCGGCGTGAGCCGGCGGGGCACAGGTCTAAATATACCAGATTGGAAAAATGCTCCTAAAAGCGAGCTTTGTCAATAATATTTAACAAATCAGGTTACGTTAGAATGTGATATTTTTCCGCAAGATCTATTACTTTAATTGGATTAAATCTCATTTAAAATTTTAAGCTATATTATTAATTGGTTAAATAAAGCTTTACCAAATATATCAATTTTATTAATGATTATTTTAATCATTTTAATTACAGTGGCATCATTAAACGCAGCCTCTCAAAGCTCAAATTAATTAAATCTTGTATACGATAATGTATATTAGAGATCTGCAAAGTTAGCGGGCCGAGCCGGACTCGGGCCTAATTCTACTTAAAATAATCGGGTTCGGGCCTGGCTGGACCTTGGAATTTTTTTTAAATATATCTAAATTTATCAATTTTATATTGAATTTTTTATGTAGAATAAAAATATTTGATTTTATTTATTGAAACTAAACGATATATAACATATGTCTTTTATTTTGAGTAATTATAAAAATTAATTTCTATATTTAAATAAATTCGGGCCGGATCGGGTCGGTAAATATTTTTAGAAAAAATTTTGGATTCGAGCCGGGCCGACAAAATTTTTTTTAAAAAATTATGAGTTCGGGCCGGGCTTGAAAAATTAGGCCCGATGCAGATCACTAATGTATATAGCACACTAACGATTTGTTAAACTCTCTTTAATTTCAAGAGAAAATGATATCGTCTTATCATTAGATTAATATTGGCATAATATCCTCTTTTACAAATAAAAAGGCAGAGGATATATAAAATTGCATAATGTGTGTAACTCATTTGATTAAAATTTAAATATTGTTAAATATTCTTAATATTACTAGTTTATTTATTTTTTTTAATATATCATTGTTTATTTTACTTTAAATTATTTAGAAAATATTGAAAAACATTTTATTACTTGCACGAAATTTTTCATAATCTTGAAAAATATTTATCTTATTTTACTTAAACACTTATATTTTGTTTTACGTTTATATTCCAATTTATATTTTATTTAGGTTATGTTTTTTTTAAAATATTTTTATATTATATTATAGTATGTAAATATATTTGGTTATATGAGGAGATAATATTTTTATGTTTAGAAGCATTATTATTTTGAAGAATAAACTGTTTAAAAGTATTTATGTTTTTAGTTCTTATTGCAAAAGTTATCAAATAAGGTTAGGTAGATCGTGTTTTTTAAGGGGCCGCTAAATTATTTTTTGCCCTGGGCTGCCAAAAGTCTTGCCACGGCGCCAAAATTAGTTCTTGAAGTGTTCCCCTTTATTTATCGATAATTTATTTTAGGGCAGAAGCCTTTTTTTGTGATTTGAGGCTGTTCTATCCTATCAGTACCGAAGTTGTTAACCTAAACTCAGGATCTATAGTTAAGTAATCCAGGACGTCGACTTCGATTATTCTCATCAGTCGATATAAATTTCCAATGGAAGCATGTCCACCTCCGGTTAAATCCGTAACATTTATATCAGGATTCTTTTAGAATTTCTTAAAATAATTTTATAGATGTTCTGCTGAATTTTATAGATATTCATAAATTTTATTGAATAAATTGTTTAGTGTAGAAAGTTATATATTTTAACAAATGCTCTTTTTAAATGAGAATTTGTTCGAATAAATGGTAAAAATAGGGGTAATGTTACTTTTTTTTCTATGATGTTCGAATTGAATGACGAAAAATATAAAGAATGTTATTTACATTAATGCTCTTATATTGTCTATTTGAAAATATCCCCAATCCCTGTAAATCATATTTTTCTTTCAAATTCCTTTAATTAAAATTTGTAAAAATTTTGTATAAAAAATTATGTTAAGAATAATAGGTTTTATAAATTATTTATAAATTAATTGCCTATAAATGTATCTGGGACTGGTTACTTTTGAATTAATACAACTAGTAAGTGTAACTAATTACCTTTTATAGAATGTAGCTTGTAACTTTAACTAGTTACCTTTCAAAAGTACCTACAAAACTATAGAAAAAACACCAATTTTGGGTGAATTTGATGGATAAGATTGATTCCAGATGTCCTTCTTCCTTGTAGTTAGGCCCACTTGGAAGAGTTTAGAACTCCCTTGTCCCGAGTTAATTTGAATTATTAAAATTATAATTAAACATTAAAGAAAATGAATAACTACCAAATATTTAGAATACTTTTATTTTAGAAATGAATAGCTAATATGTTATTAGTCATTGGGTATGGTTATTTTATTGATTAATTTATAGTTCAAAACTATATGCACATTTTTGGGTTGGGTAAGCATATTTTTTTTTAAAAAAGTTTAGCATGAAATTTTACAATTTATTTTATTATATCCTAGTTAATTTATATTTTATCATTTTTAAATACATTAACTGAAATGAAAAAGCAATTTATTCGAGTGAAACACCTTGCTGATCAAACTGTTGGAAGGTAACTAAAATTGAGATTTTTATAAACTGAATTTATTATCAGAGCAGAAAAAACTGAGGTATTATCTGAAGATTTACTAGGCGTTGAAAAACGTGTTGATAACATAAAACATGCAAGCCATTCAGTTTTAAAAAAATTATCAATGTGCATGATCAGTCAAGGGACAGATTTGGAAAAAAGATTGGTAAGATATTTTATATGAATTTTAATATGAAAATTAAGGTTTAATTTATTCAATATATTATTAGATACCTTATTTTATATTTAAACAAAAAAATATTTGTATATAGGCATATTTTTATGGAAACTTAATCTAATAATTTAAACCTTGTCAGGAATTTAAAAGAGAACAATTAATATAAAGTATATTATTATAGACACCATTTACTTAGCACTTTCAAAGATATTAATTACAAGTAGTTTCAAATCATAATCAGACCCATGCAAATGGAGGAGTGGGAAGGGTAACCCCAGGTCTTTAAAATTAGACTTATTTATAGGCCACCAAATTTTGGTACAATACATGATTTTTATTTTCTTATGACTATTTAAATTTACTTTTTTATGCCAATTCAAATTTGCTTTTATTTTTGCTAAGTTTAATTTTAATTTCTCAATTCATTTAATTGATATTAAAGTCTTTTTTAGGGTAAATTTGGGTTCAAAATTATCTTCACACTGGACCAACAAAAATTTTAAACATTTCCCTGTTTATAATATGGTTATAAATTAATAATTTATTAGATATAAATTGTCTATTTTAAAATTTTTATTTGACATTTTTTTTAAAATATAAATTTTAGTTTAACATCTTTAATTATTATAATATTTTTTATTTATTCTTGCTCTTGAAAAAAAAAGAAGTTTTTTAATTAACTATGACATATGGAATTTTAAAAAATCAAACATTAAAAACTATATTGTTAATAAATCATTTTAAAATTTCTTGCAAAATTCTATAAAATATAAATTAGTTGCAAATAAACAAATCAGCTCTTAACCAAAAACAATATGAAAATAAATAATTACTTAAATTTTTTTAATAGTTAATTTCAAATCAAATACATAAAAACTCCAATTTTGGTTACTTTGACATCAATATGATTAACTTCGATTGTTCAAAATTTTGCTTTTTAAAAAAATTTATCTGGCTAAAAGCCTATTTTTATTTTTCAGGATACTAATGCTCTTAATATAGAACTAAGCATGTATTATTTAGGAGTATACTAAAGCATTGTAATCTAATTACATAACGTTTTTTTTGTTACTCTGCCTTTTATTTCACTAAATTTTTTTTATTATTGCACCAACCAAGATATAATGGATAGAAAAGAAAATGTACTGATATAAAATATCGATTTATTGAATTTTTTTTATCTATCAAACTTTTGGCTAAAACTGAATTACTTACATACGCTTTTTTTAATGTTAGTTATTTTATATTTTTTTTTGTTTGTTAAAAGCGTGTTATGTAATATTAGTTGGAATTATGAAAAATATTGGGGATTAAATTTCAATTATTAATAGATTTTCTCACTTTTTTAGCGCGCGGTTCATTAGTTTGGGCACTAAGGTTTTCATTCATTCGCGTAAATACACTATCATTTGTTTTTGACGAATGAAATAAAACATTTGTTTATATTTCATCAACAAAAAAATACACTTCTCAATAAAAACAATATTTTAAGCGTTAACTCATATAAAAATTGTATTTTATATTTTTAAAAAAAGCTAAAAAAAACTCGTCCTTTAAGCCAAAAATTTATTTTTATCTAAAAAAAATTTATAAAGACGCAATGAAGAAAATATTCATAAATATTAATTTTTTTTGCATACAAACAAACGGTAAGATTATTTGATAAATCAAAAACTAAATTTTGGACGAAATTTAAGAATTAAATGGCACGTGATAAAGTATATCATATTAGAGATCTGTCCAAAGACCCGCCCTGGCGGAAAACAAAATATTTTTTGACCGTAATACCCGAAATTTTTTAACGGGGTTCTGCCGATATAAAATTATTTTCGGTACGGATATCGAAACATCTTCGAATCAATTTACTAATAATATCCGATTTATAAAACGAAAGAAAAAAAACTGTTGATTCCAAACTAACTCGCTTTTCCTTAAAAAAAAATTCCCGAAAAAATATTAAATTTATAATAGTAAATATATTTATAAATATAAATATGTAATTACGTTTTTGATTAATTTTTTAAAAAATAATTGAAATTCCCTACAAAAATCAATAATTAACACATTCTGTTTTTCATTTTGTTTAATCATCGAGTCTTATTGTTTTCTGATAATTAATTTTTTTTTAAAAAACATAATATCTGCGTTGTAAAAGTTGCTACGTAATAATTGAACCTTTTACAAAGTGACCATTTTTTGGTCAACATGTGTATGAGACGTGAGACAAATATGAAACATTTTCATATGATTTTTTGCAGTGAGAGAAACATTATGTCAACTTTAAAATAAATTTAAAAAAATATTCTATAATATATTCCTGATTTATTCGAACTATTAATCTTTTTCTTTACATACATAAATTATGAGCATTTTCGAAAAAGGGCTAATAAATTAGAGACTAGTTTTTGGTTCTTTCAAATACTGAATTTATGTAACATAATGGTGTAACATATTCTTTATACATTCAAATTTATTATTTTTTAGAAGAAAGCAAAAATAAATTAACTCGCGCCTCAATGCTTAGCTGACCTTCGGCACGTACCTATGGAATTAGCCGAATGGCTAATTTTTTGCCCTTACCCAACTATACAAATTATTTAACTTAATTACTTATTATTCACGCATCATATTATGCAAATGCCTGCAGATTTTTATATATAAATAGATATTGGGCATATATTCTATTTTATATTATTACGATCATTATTGGATCATGTCAACAGAGAATTCATATTTACAGCAAATAAAATTGTAGTAGTTTTATGATTTTTTTTAAAAATTATTAACAAAGGAATAGAAGCATATGATATTTTACACCTCTTATAGAAGATTATTACTATAGCAATAATTAATAAATTTTATTTTTTTAAAACCTTAAACTAGACAAATTGGGGAAATGTAGAATGCAGATCTATATAATTAAATTTAAAACTAAGGCTCATGCCTCGTCCTCAGTCACTTCGTTAACGCTGCTTTTGAAACGCTTGCATTATTAAAATTTAAAAACCAGAAGCTTTACGTTGAAAACGTTTTAAAAGCAGCATTAAGGTAGTGAACTGGAACGAGGCGTAACACTTGTCAACTATTATTAAAACACTGCGCTGGGAAAAGGCCCTCATCAATGGAAGCTACGGAATTGAGTGACACAGTTTTCTTCAAGATTATAGATCAATAAGGCAAGCAAACAATACACATAGTTAATGATGATAACGATAAATATATATTGATTCCAAAACTGTCAAAAATTACACTGTCCCAGTATAAATCGATGTTTTTTTATTGCAATAATGAGGAACCTACAGAAGTCCTCATGCCCCCGCCTCCTTTTAAAAAATATAACCCACCTGCTCATAATTTTGGGAAAAAATTATCACGCTTGCGCATTGTTATAAAATGTGAATTTGATTGTTTATTTTTTTCTGAGAATGACAGGTCAGGAACAGGCACAACCCTTATATTCGATCGGGCACGGTCTATAAATAAATTACAAATCCAGGCCAGTCCTAAAATATTTTTCACAAAACCCGGGCCGGGTCGAACAAAATTTATTTTTATAAATGAATTAAAATTATATCAATCATTTATCATTGATTTGATGCTCATAGACCGATAATTTTAAATATCTGTAACAAACCGTTTATAAAAATGAAAAAAAGCTCAAATCTAAGCAGGGCAAAAATACTCGATAGGTCTTTGATGGTTCAAACAACATCTCATCTCGTCTATAAATATTTTAAAGCACACCTTCCGCACCCATTGTTAAAATTTTTATCTCGCCGGCGCCATTTGCCCGCCTATTTTAAAATATTATATTTTTTAAAAACAACTTTAATCACCACGAAAAATGAAATCAACTGATTTTTTATGATTTAAAGTTGAATTACAGATTTTTGTTTTTAAAGCCCTAGTTTACTAGTTCATGCCTTATCTCTTTTCAAAATGTGATTATATATCTTTTCCCCACTATAATGTAATTTCCTCCTAAAATATTTTTTTTTATTAAATATGGTTCATTGAATATTTTTTTAAAAAATCTCTTTTACTAGTATGAGAACGCGAAGCGAGTAGACTTAGATTTTTATACGCCTTTTTATTAAAATCATATTAATAAGGTTTAAAATATTTTATTATTTGTTAGATTTTCTTATACCTCGTCCTAAATTCGACTAAATTAGTTACGCAACTAATTTTCGGAATCATATGCTGTTCGTATAATATTTTAAATGAACACATATGAGTTAGACGAATTTCTTTTTAAAATGTTTGGACATAGTAGTTGACTAAATTCTTAATTTAGTCGAAATAGGTCGAGATAAATTTAAATAAAATAATATTTTTTAGTACGTGATTGAGAAATTGAGGTAATTATTTTTGAGCAATCCTGACTTGTAATTAAATGTTATATAATATATACTGAAATTTCATAAGAGGGAAATCACCAAGGCTAGCTTTGTTAAATGACTCTATTAACCAATTTTAAATTAAGATTTTAGCCAAAATAAAACGAATCTCGAGATTTCATTAATAGATATCCAGACTTTTCGGCCATTTATGAGAAAAATTCCAGGCTTGCATAATATTTTTTGGCTATTTGGATAGCCATTTTTTAAAATCGAGCCGTTTAACAAAACTAACCTAGACCTGATCCTATGAACCAGCTCATCCCCAAATAAAAATACAACTGGAATATAATTGTAAAATTGAAATATGGTTTTATGCTAGCTAAATCTTTTGCAACTGAATTTATTTCTATCGCCAAATTTAAATTTAAAAAATCTTCTTTAAATAACTTCATATTTTTATATGAGGCTAAAGTTTAGTATTGTTTAAACGGCTCAATTTTTAAAAATGGTTAATCCAATATTTTAGCCAACAAATATTGGCAGAAAAGTTTGGACATCTATAACGAAATCTCGAGGCTCGCTTAATAATTTTATGGCTAAAATCTTAATTTAAAAATTGGCTATGCTAACGTAAGAAATTAAAAATCATTTAATGAAAATGATTTATTAAGAGAAATCGGTAAAGTTAGTAAATTTTATATTTAAAGAAAAAAATATTTACCTCAACTTGACCTCTTAAGGATGGGGTTCCTTAAATTAAAATAATAAGGGGGTTTTGGTTTCGGCTTCAAACTCAAAAATAAACAAAACAAATAAACAACCCTCCAAAGAAAAGAAGGTTCTTGTTCCTAGATTTTCCCCCGTTTCGAGGGTTCCTGTTTCCAAATTTTGATTGCAAATAAAGCTCAATTAGTTTTAATTTTTATAAGTTTCTGATAAAAAATGATGATTTTACAAAAAGAAATAAGTATATTTTCAAAAAAAATTATTAATATGATTATAATTTATTCTATCACTTATATTTATAGAAAAAGATTCCGGAAACATATCTATCGTCCGCCTTGGTCGAGTTCAGCACAAATGTTGGCGAAAATACCCCATTAGGGTAAAAAATGTTTTTACAACTTCTTATTTTTCGAAGGATTTATAAATATTATTAAGTCACATGCTTTATATAGCTAAGGTTAGGTGAGGTGTTTACTTTGGGGAACTTATTTATGAGATTATTGATTTTTGATATTTTGGGAGTCAAAAGCCTTGCTTTTAAAAAAATAGAATTTGGAAATACATCTCTAGCTCAAAATATATATTTTAATTAAATTTAAATAGGCAATTCAATAAATAATTTTGATAATTTAATATTCATCTATTTTAATTTAGTTTATTACAAAATATGATATGAAAAAAATGAATAGTAACTATTTCCCACCTCCTTTATTTAAAAAAAACAAACTTTTCTTATTTTTTGAATTTCATTTTATAATTGTAATATTGTTGAAAAGTCCGATCTTTAAAAACGACTTGATTAAGATTTTAGCCGAAATAATAATTTAAGCCTCGAGATTTGGCAAATACAGGTCCAAGCCTTTCTGCCATCTATGAGCAAAATCTCTAGGATTGCATAATTATATTTTGGTTAAAGTCTTAATCCGGCCCTTTTTAATAGACCCAAATCGGGATTTTTAACATTATATAATTGTGATATACAATCTAGCAAAATAGGAAATTAAATATAGAATTAATACTATTTTAGGCCATGGTGGGCCTATATTTTAATGATATTAAGGCTGGCCAACGTTCCTTATCATCTTATAGTCCTTTTTGTTTCATTTAAATAAGACCTGCAGGCATAGCACAGGTACACGGGCCAGGCCGTATTTTAATTTTTTTAAATATACCCAAACCGAGTCTAAAAACGGGCCAGGCTGAAAAAATTTTTTTTGAAAAAAAAATCCGGGCCGTGCATGCAAATAGTACCTCTGCAGGTCTCTGATGAAAATACCAATTTTTTGAAATAGCTAATGCCAAAATATACTGTACATTGCTATTATGGTAAGGAAACTTCATAGATTCTCTTATAAATTAGATATTTTCGCTAACCTATATTTTTGTTCCTTTTTTAATCAAATATTTAAATAAAAAATGTTTTTGAGTTACATTTCAACATTTACAAGACAAGTTTATCAAAAGAATTTTAATGCATTCACATTATATATATTTTTTAAAAAAACTTTAAAATCATTACAATAACCTTAAATAAACGATTTTTAATAGTTTTTTTTTAAAAAAAAAGCAACTATAAAATTTTAATAAACGTTATTAGTATTGAACAGTTTATCGACCGTACAAGTGTAAATACTGGATCATTATCAAATATAATAATTTATTAGTTGATAAGAAATAAAGCATTATTTTTAAACATTGAAAATTTATACGCAATATTTTTATTACTCGATACGATAGCCGGTCCTAAAAGGTCAGAATGTCACAAACGAGTATTTCGATAAAAATAATATTTTTAAAAAAAATCTCATTATTGTAATAGATCGTTTAAAAAAATATTATTTTAAGTTTGAAATGAAACTAATAGTTTAAATTAAACTTTACACAGTTAAATACTGTACAATCCGTGAACAGTTTTCCATAGCCCCAAAATTTTAGTTAATAAAAAGCTAAAAGTAAGAAAGAGATTTATTTTATTATTTTTAGTAAATTTATTGAATAAGATTTTAAATTTTTAGGAGCGCGTTACGATATTGCGGGGAGGCCATGAGTCACATAGGTAAAGACACTTTGCAATACGAATTGGACATTGAAATGAAAGTGTTTCAGCCTTTAAATATGCTTTTAGAAGTAAATTTGTTTTATAAAAAAAATTGAAAATATTATTCGAAATTTAATTTTTGTCCTTTTTTTTATTCATATTTAGACTTACCTTCCAGTAATCAATAAGTTCAAAAAACAACTTAATAGGCAGACACTGGAAATGGATATATGTAAAACCAGGTTGTTATTAATGCACATAAATAATATACATAATTTTATATCACATCAGTAGAGTAATTTCCAAATCAAATGGCGGTATCAAACCAATTTTTTTTATTAAAATTCTTATAAATTATATTTAAAGAAAATTTATATAAAAAAGGGTAATTCAAAAAGAATAGCAAATTTTGCAGTGGATAGTATATCCCGATCTTACTAATAGGATGTATTATACTATGTATATGTTATAGGGGCAGGAATTCGAACCTCAACAAATATCGGGTTAGGTTTAGAACCTCTAAAAACTGGTCAAAACCTTTTCTTTATTATAACTATATAGAAGCATATTTTTTGAAAATATAATCACTAAAATTTATGCAACATAACTCAACATATGTTTAGTTTATATTATTATTTGGACAAACAAATATGCCTAAAATTGTGATAAATATATTTTTCCTAAAAATACTATTAAAAATTTTTTTTTTATAAAATTCTATCTATAAGGAAAAAGAATAGATTTTATGAATGTGGGTAGAGTGCCGATTCAATTCGGGTTTGAGGAAGTAAAATTATAAAAGTTTTTTAAGCTTGGTCGGAATTTTATTTGTATATAAAATCATGCGTATAAGTAAAATATCATCTAATGTCTATTCGTGTTCCCTCTGGTGTTAGAATATTATATCTCAATCCTGAAAAATGATCTTTCGACCAAAATTTTTATAACTGGGACATACATGATGATTGTTACTAAAATAGATATGGTTCAGGTTACTCTAATTTTCTTCCGTCCCAATAAAGAATATTGATGTTTTTTATAAATGCGTTTTGGTGGTATCTATTAAATCGCTCTTGTTTTGTATCGAGTGACATATATTTTATTTTTTTATTTTCTTTCATTAGTAATACGGATTAAAAAAATTTTCCTAAGGTTTAGTACAATTATTTTGACCACTAATGGAATAAAATGAAGTAAGTGTAATTGCATTCATCAAAGTTAGGGATCAAGATAAAGACATGCACAGAATACGTCTTTTTTTAGATTTATCTATCTTGATTTTGTGGAAGAAATTAACTAATTGTCAAAAGTTGAATTAAATTTCTTTATTTTAATAGTGCATTTTAAGAGAGAATAATAGAAATCACCTTATATGTTTTCTTTTCTTTACTCTAAGTTTCTGATTTTATGATTTTAAATGATTAGTAATATAATATATAGCAGATTAAATTTAAAAAAAACATTTAAAGATAAGATAACAATTTATAAAAAAGGCTAATTTTTTAAATTACATTGTTTAATATTTATAAGATAATATCCTATAATACTTCTCCGAGGGCTGGCGAAGAAGTATTATCCCAGTATACAAGGGGAAAAGTTATCCTTTAGCCGATTTGTAGAACGTGCATAAAAGGGGTACAAATAATGTGTAGTCTGGATATTGGCAATGGGTTAACCCTAGGGAAAGTGGATAAGTTTTGTTATTTGGGTGATATGTTAAACGCAGATGGTGGTGTAGATTCTGCTGTTGTTGTAAAGGTCAGGCAAGCATGGAAGAAGTTTAGAGAGATGTCATCTATTCTAACAAATAAAATAGTCTCTGAATTTAAAGGGGAAAATTTACGAAAGCTGTGTGAGGAGTTGTTTAGTTAATGGCGGCGAAACATGGGCAATGAAAGCGACTCACGAATCCAAATTAGAAAGAACAGAGATGAGGATAATTAGATGGATGTGTGGAGTATCTCTGAGAGAGAGAAAAACTAGCAAGGAATTGCGATCAAGATTGGGAATAGAAGTGATTGGGTGTTAATGCGAACAAATAGACTAAGATAGTTTGGACATGTGGAACGTATGACAAAAGATGACTGGGTAAAGGGATGCATCTTGATGGAAGTAGGAGGATCAAGATCTAGAGGAAAGCCAAAGATGACGTGGACAAATGTGATAGCGGTGGATATGAGGAGCGTGAATCTTAGAAATATTTATGCTCACGGCCGTCAAAAAGGGTAAAGAAAAATGAGAGGTAAAACTGGCCTACCTGGGTAAACCTGAAAATCACCATAAAACGGAGAAGAAGAAACCGTTTATAAAGACTCGGTTATCCCTGTAAATTTTTTTAAAAAAGAGGTTTGGTTCAGCTCAGCCGTATATAAAAATATATATTACAATACATCGGTTCGGTTCGACATTCTGACTGAAAAGCACTACGAACTGGAATCGTCAAATAGCAATATACAAAACATATAGCTACTTATACTTATCAATCATTTTAAAAGAGTTATATTTTCAAAGATTCAAACCGGTTTGCATCCCTTTTTTAGAGGTTCAGGCTCAAGTGCCAACTGTAAATAATAAAGGTTATTTTATGTTTTGGCAAATTACAGGGCTATGCTTCAATGACTCGGGTTTTTATCAAAAGTTTAAAACTTAAATAATCTATTAGGACGCGTTTTTTTAAATTTTGAAAGTCCCAATTTTGCCGGAATCGTAATTAGTAAAAAAAATTTTTTCATTGGATGAGATATATTTATACTGAGGTAAGGAGTAGGATCAAAGATTGGATGTGGGTTAGGGTTAATTAAAGGTTTGAGACATATAAAATTTAATTAATTATATTAAAAATCTGTCAATTCTGACAGGTCATGTAATTGAAATAGAGGAATAAAAATTTTAATAAATTAATTGTAACAGCAATTTTCCTGAGTTTGACCATAACCGATTTTGGCAACATCAGGTCTTTCAAAAAAAACGTGCGCTATCAATTATTTATAACTTGGTCCTAAACATATATAATATGGCTAAATTCTAAAAATTTGTGAAATTCCTAAAATATATAACATTATTTATTTATTTATTATATATTAGAAAAAATCAATAATATATTTGTATTTATCAAAATAAATAAGGTATAATGAAATGTTGAGAAGGTCCTATTGTTCCGTTAATGAAGTTCAAAGCAATGCCACCAAAATTGATTCGCTTAAGGATGATTATATAGACGCCTGCAATAAACTTGATCATATCAAAGTAATTAATATTATTATTTTTTTTGTTAGATACTTTTTTCGTTTAAAATTTGAAAATATTTTATTTTAATATTTTACATTTGTTTAGGATGCCTACACCACTGAAATGTTCAAGTTTTTATCGAAAGAAGGGGAAATTTCGAATATCCTATTGAACGTATACAAATTTTTTTAGAACGATTTTAATTCATTTTTTTGTTTAAATCATCGAATGGATTAGGTTTTAGAAGCTCAAATAGAATGTCACAAAAGTTTATCTACTACTCTTGACAGTATTTTAGCTAAAGCCCGTGATTATATAAGTAAAATTCTAGTATTATTTTTAGAAATGTTTGAAATGCGAAAATTATAAACTATTAGGTTCTTCCTACATTAAACCCGCGTTCGGCTGCCCTTTACAAGAATATTTAGATCTTACAAACAGTTTCGTTTCTCCTATTATCGAAGATTGCATCAATATACTTTTAGAGATAGGCTTGGATGAAGTTGTAAGTTAAAAAAAATATATCACCCATTTTTAATATAATCACATAAAATAGTTTGAATTAGAGATCTGCAAAAGCAGGGCCGGGCCTTTTCAAAGAAAAATCGGGTTCGGGCCTAATATTTTTAAAGAAATTCGGGCCGGTTTGGGTGGGGTCTTAATTTTTAAAATATATCTAAATTTATCAATTTTATGTAGAATTTTTTATGTAAAATAAAAATATTTGATTTTATTTATAGAAACTAGACGCCATATGACATATATCTTTTATTTTGAGTAATTATAATTTTTAAAAAAAATTAATTTCTATATTTAAATGAAATCAGGTCGGCTCGGCAAAACCTTTCAAAAAAATCGGGTTCGGGCCGGGACGGCATAACTTTTTTTAAAAAATTTCGGGCCGGACTTGAAAAATTAGACCCGATGCAGCTCACTAGTTTGAATTAGGTTAGGTTTGCCTAATTTTTCAAAAATCTCATTTATACAAAACTACGTCTATACTTTGATAATTGTAATTCCTTTTTAATATATTAGGCCTAACGCCGCCGCACACACGTTAATCATAAATAAATATTTTTTGAACGTGCATTGCCTTCATCAAATAAATTATTTTTCTTTTTTTTTCATTTTTGATTAACAAGAGAAACAAAATAAAATTATAAACAATTTTTTAAAACTAAACTTAATATTTTTAAAAAACAAAAACTTGAAGTTTTATGAATCTTGTAGTTTTTTTAAATATCCAAAAATAAATATAATTGATAACTTTTTTTCAAAGTCACATAATGACTTTTATTTCAAAGCATAGTAATCGCCATCTAATTTATATTGAAAAATGACACCATGTCCTTTGAAAGGACACTATGTGACTAAAAAAGATGTATAAAATAATAAATAATTAATATTATAATTGAAATGCATATATATATTGTTCCTAGGCTCATCTTTTCTCCACTCTGGCATATAATAATAAATTGAATTACTAAGTAGAATACATCAGTATAAAAAAAAATAGGTGAAATTTATTGTAGACAAAGCAAAATAAGAATAAAAAATCACAGATTCTAATATATTAAATTTAAAATTTTCTAATTCGAATTAACGAATAATTCTTTAGGAGCATTAGTTAATCATTTTTGTGGATGACTTAATATTTATAATAAAGCCAGCATAATATACTTAAAATTTTTTTATGTGGCATGTGACATTATCACTAAAATAATGATTATTTTATTTATTTATTTTTAAATAAGGGCTTGTTTCGTATGACAGGTAGTTCTCCCAAAATTAAAAAATTGAAATCCGCTTTCGATTCGGGATCACCGGTAGACATGCAAGAATTTATACAAGATCCTCACGTTATTACCGGTTTAACAAAAAAAGCGATAATGTTAAATTAATACTTCAATTAAAGAAATCTCTATAATTGTTTAAAATTATATTTTTTTAAGTTATATCAATCTCTTTTTGTCACACAAATCAATCTGCTAGTTAGGTTTACGCGCCTGAAAAATACGCAGATAGCGCGATTATGTGACCATAAAGTCCCCTCGCCTCTTTTAACGTTTTTCATTTCTAGGTCATTGAGAAATGTCATGATATGTGTTCTGGTTTAAATCATTGATTCGAAACGATAAAATATAAATGTTAATGTTTTTAAAAAAAAAAATATCATGTCTAAGGTATACTAAAACTCTATTTAAGAGAGTTGCCCGAACCATTGCTCACATTCAAGCTTTACGATGAGTGGTCAAACGCCGGTAAAATGGAAGAAAACAGCTTTGGGGATAAAGAAATCAATGAACGCAATAGCGAAAATGAGGGAAAGGAGAAGACGTTATTACGGGAAAATAAATTAGCAGTGTTTGCCAGCCTGCTCAAACGATTGCCAAAAGCTAATCTTGACAACCTGAGGTTATTAAATTTTTTAAGATAATTATTTAAAGTTATAACACGATCAATATACAATATCATTTCCTTTATGTCTAAAATGTTATGCAAGTGTAATATAAATTATTTTCTTGTTGGAGGGGGGGGGGTTCATTTTAAGATTAATCAAAACTAAACTTTAGCACGAATGTATTAAATTATTTAATTTAACCCTATTAATATAATTATGAATATTTTATAAAGGCAATTTTATATCATTGTATTTATATTAGGTATCTGATTCAATTTATGTCTCTCATAGTTGATCACTCGGACGTTAATTTGATGACTAGCTCTAATTTAGCTATTGTTTTAGGGCCTAATCTATTGTGGAAGCACATGGATTTAAGGTAACTGAAATAGATGATTTTTTTTAAAGAAAAATGAGAATAACTTTTATTATTAATACGCATATTTTTTTAAATATCCAATGTTATGTGAAAGCTTAGTTATTATATTATAATTGCGTAGGATGGATCTTTCGAATACCAATGTACAAAATTCAATCGCCGAATTTCTAATCGTGAATTGCAATGCATTATTTCCCGAAAGTAAGAAGAAAAATCTTTAATTTTTTTTCTTAAAAAAATTCTTACACTATCAGATAACCAAAACTCGACATACTATTTTTTGACATTTGACATTGTTCATATTTTTTTTCCTTCGTATTCATCGAAGAAAATTTTTAAAAAAATATATAATTAAATACATAAAGAAATAGACTTCAAAAATTATGACAATTCCAAACCCGTTAATCTTTTTCGCAATAATCATCTCGACAACAATCTCGCCCATTCTATCCCAGAACCCGGTAGTTATAATAATAATAATATTATAAACCTCGATGTCAATGACAAAGAACACAGTATTACCCGACACACTTGCCATTCCTTGAACCAAACCCCCCAACAAAGCGATTTTCGAAATCCCCAAAATAATCGGGCCATCTATTCCCAAGTTGATCTCTCAAAAAAATACAAAAAATCTCTCTCCAATGGTTCTAAACCATCCTCCACGCATTCAACTATATCTAATGACCACCAATTCGACTCCACATTTTCTTCTTCAACGCGCTCCTGCAAAGCTACCCCTAAGGTTCATAACAAGGACAGTATCATGTATCACAGTAGCCACGAGTTATTGAACAATACCTCATTCGCGTGTCTGGGAATCCCATCTTCTACTTTTCATTCGCAGTCATATTCCACACAATCTCCCGTAACACATCATCATTACAATTCGAACGAAAGCATAAATCTTAGTAATTCTTGCGCTGGCGATACGCTCCATCGTACGGGTGATAAGTAATATTTCAAAACAGATAATTTTTAAATAAAAGTTGAATATGGATAGTTAGAACTTTTATTTTTTGATTATATTACATTTAAAATATATTGAGTTTTTAGTTATCTAATTTTATATTACTGCTTTAAGTCAACTGTATTACAAGGTTCCGTTTTCTTCGAACAGAAACTCGCATTAAGTTAAGTGAACAAGAAAATATGTAAACAACATTTTTTAAATATTCTATTTCGTTTTAATTCGAACATAAATTGATGAAATATATCAATATCCCTATTTTTAACGTTCTTACTAAGTCCATTTTAAATAGCGCATTTTTCTAACTTATTAATTCAATAAAATTTGGTCGAACATATACATAAAATGATTAAAATAGTTTCCCAAAAATTTATATAAAATTTTAAAATAATTTATTTGACAAAATGTAGTGATATATTTAAAAATTTAACCCTGACCCGGTCCGAAACCCGCTCGGGCCGGGCTGGGCCGTGATTTGCAGATCTTTAATTCTTTTTAACACTTTCGTTACTTTGTCCTCCTTTTCTCACAAATTTAGCTTGTTAAACATCTCTTCTATCGGATTAGAAATGGCGAATAGGAGTAAAAATTACAATTCGTGATTTAACGGTCTGGTGCTGTTCTATATCATAGACAGTGTAAAATTAAAATTAAACATTTTTCAAAACTAGGGTCTAGTTAGTTATTTTCAGAAAAGGCCAATAACCTTTACTTTGCTCATCATATAATAATTACATTCAATTTATTTTATTCGAAAAAAAGAAATTTGTTTGTTTAACTATTTATTATGTCAAAAATATGTTATTTCGGAAAAGAATTTATAATTAAATTGTAAATTGTCTCGTGTCGGAATATCGAACAAATCGATCATGATTAAGCAACTACTTTCAATTTTTCGTAAATTTTGTATGCAAACTAAGATTCGTTTTAACCTATATTTCAATTTTGGAGACTTAAGTAAAGCATGAAAAATTTCCCCATTTTATGATTATCGGTTTTTATTTAGTTAATCATTGATTAGAAACTATACGCTTGTAAATAATAAATTTGGTATTTAAATAAAGCGATATCAATGAATAAATTTCCTTTTAGTTTTTTTAAAATGACTTATTATGGTCTTTTTAGAAAATAAAATTACTTAATGTTATTCATTTAAAACTCCTTCATTATAAGAATTTTATTCTATATTACTTTCAAAATCTTATAAAGCAAAATAATCCTCTTAAAAAATAAGGATTCTGAGTTTTCTTTTATATAAAAATCACAACTTTCTTTTTATTCAAAAATAAGTTTACAGAGATATTCTTTTAAAAAATATTTCGATTATTTTATATTACATTTTTATGCGAATAAAATTGATACACAAAATTATTTTAAGAAAATAAATATATTTGGACATTTTTTAAATAATTTTATAGATATTTCACCAACTTTTAATGAATTAATGATAAGTTTAGTGTAAATTTTTTTTTAATAAAAGCTCGTTTTGAATGAGAATTTGTTCGAAAGAACGGTACAATCCTGTGATAGCGAACATAACAGCTTAAAATAAATTATTTGTTGTTTAAAAATCGATAATTATTCATTGCTTTCCAAAACGAATATGTATCGAGTATTGAATTATTCATATTCAATTCTTTTTAAAAAAATATATAATACGAATAATTATTATTCGATTCATATTCGTTTTTGAATGGACCTAATTCATAACTCGTTAATATAGTTGGATAATAGGTAATAAGCTCCAATTCACAGTATCGAAGAAAAATTTTTTGAAATTTTATTTTATCATATTTGACATATCTTAAGTCAAAGAAAGCTAAAATCACATCGAGACTTATCCATTAGCCTTCCGCCGCCGCCTCCTCCTATTCCGTTATCGAGCTGCCCCCTAGCGCGGGAAGAAAATTTTGATAATTGCGATACATTATTACCCGCACAACAAATAGCCCGGTGTTGCAAGATTAAACCTAGTCTACCACCTCCGCCTAAATTAAGACAGCTCAAAGAAACTTTACATTATCAGAATGCGTAGTTGTTGTTTCTGGAGCATATTTTTTTAAGTCTAATTATCGTTTTTCAAATTATCAAAGAATATTTATTAAATTTATATTCATTTAAATTGTTATGGGTAAGACGTAAAGGTAGGAAAAGTTTCAAATGATGAGAAAAAAACACAAAATATACATCACAAATTTTTATTATTATTATATTATAATTTTAAAATGTATTTTTTTTTACATTCCTCTGTTTGTATTAAAAAAAAGAATTTTTTTAAATTAATTTATTTATGTATCATTTTATAACGAATTGATCTACATATTTAGCTTTGGACATTTGTATATTTATTTTATCAAGTCAACTTTAAAAAAAAAACATAACATAATATTAATGTTCGCATTAATTATGGGCAATATTTCTTTGTGATATACTCTCAGTCAAATTTGAGAGAATACGCATGGTGTTTTTTTTCTTTAGTTTTTAAAATGTTATAATTTTATTCATTTTTCTATCTATTTTAAAAACGTAATTATTTTTTTTTAAATGATAAATTTTAAAATATTTATTTTTTTATATGAAACTAAATACGACCTAAGGAAAGGACTTGCATTCGTTTAAATGCAAGCTCATCATCAACTCTATTTTTTTAAAAATTAAATCAAATATTTTTATAGGTTTTTTGTGATAAAATATTATTTATTTTATTTATAATGCGCTTTATCTAATATTTATAGAAATTTGTGTAGAATGTGTAAAAATAAATAAATTTGTTTACATGATCAATTAAATTATGTTCTTCTGCCTTACTCTTAGATTCAGAACTTTTAAAAGGCCGATATTTTTATATATCTAGATCTGTATACCGATCGTAGGTTGAATGCTTAAAGTAAGTATGTGCGATTTTTTGTTGCAGAAGTCATTTTGGGTAAAAAAAACCGTAAATTCTGTTAAAATGGGTAAATTGTGTTAATATATAAAAAGATTAAATTTAACTATATCTGTTGATCAAATTTAATGAGTTCCTTTTTTTTAATAATAAGCCTTATTTTATTCCTAATATACAGAGTAATTAAAGGATCATGATCCAAGGAATGGCGATCTTAATTTAGACAAACTGTCTAGATTGTAGATGCTTGAAAAAGGGTCGTAATTTTTTTACTATTCATCAATTTTTGAATAAAAAATGATATTTTACGCATAAGATAAATAAAATAATTTTTTAAAATTAAATTCAAGTCTTACTCATCAATTTAAAAAAAGATTTATACTCCATGGGAATTTCGAATCCGCATTTTTGAAAAATTTATATATTTGCTATCGAAATCTAATCAAAAAAATCGCATTCAATGCAATTCGGAGAAAAAAAATTCACCATTGAAAGAAATAATCTAAAAGGAAGTTTTGATCCTGGGATCGATTAGATCTCAAAATATTTAGCTTGTTACACAATTTTTAGAGATCTAAATAAAATAAACATAAAGAATATATCAAATTTTTTAATAATAGACGCATTTAATTTTCTGGCTCAAATTTGACATATGGGCAGACAGATCATTATTGGGAACTGAAATACATTAATAAATTAATGCAAGTGGGGTGGCCTTGCACTGAGAATTGGTCGATAAAAGTTTTGGAATCTGTAGTTGATAACGGTCTTGAGATACAGAAACGATGATAACATTATTTATTTAAATAAAAAGTTTTATTCTATATTTTTTTCATTTAAAATACATATATATGTATCAAAATTAAACAAATTTAATATATCTAAATGTCCAATTTTCATATCACGATCTACAATTATTGCCTTAAACAGTAAACATTTAAATGGACATGTATATTAACGCTTTAGATAATAATAAATAAAGAATGCCTTTATTAACATTAAACTTTAAATTGAAATAAAACATTATTATATATTACATGTTACCAACATGTAACAATAATCTTGAAATGAAATATTTGGCAACTCACTATGTAACAAAAAAAATACACATTAAATTATTCTGAAAACTCGATTTGGGTAGATTTATAAAAACGGTCCGATTAAGATTAGAAAATTTTTTAAACTTAATAAGGTTTGGGAATTTTTTTAAATGTTAAATATGGGCCGGGCCTTTTCCTGGGCCGAGCCTGATCAAAAAATTTGAGCCTATGAAGGTCTGTGTCCCCGGACGAATGTTATTTAGAATTTTTTTAAGTCTCCCACCTGCCCAATCATAAAAATTTGATCATAGATGGCAGAAACAGAAAGATTTGGCTTCTACTTGCCAAATCTTGAGGCTTACACAAGATATTTTAGATAAAATCTTAATCGGGCTGTTTTTAAAAATGAACCCAAATAGGGCTTTTTACTAACCTAATTCTGGCTTTGATAGAATTGAGGAGTGTGTTCAATAAAAAATACATAATATTTCAGTGTATTTAGGCAATCATTTTATTTACAATCCTGAAATTTATTTTTATTAAAAGAAAAAAATTAAAACATTTTTTAATAAGTTAGCAACTATTTAAAATAAATTAAATTTAAGCCTAGGTCCGCTAGAAAATATGATGGGCCGCGGACGGGCCCAGCCCCTGAAGGTCTTTTGTTCGGGAAAAGATTTATCATAAATTTCGCAAAAAATAATGAAAGTTTACGATCAAATAATTTATAGATTTTCCTCGCGGAATATTTTATAATCAAACTATTGTGAATATTTTAATTATCATATCCATTAAGTAATATTCGGCATAATTATATTCAAGATTCATTAGAATAATTAATTTTTGCAATATTTGGTTATTTTTAATTAGATTCATATTATATACAGTTCACGCTTATTGACATTTTTTTTTAAAATTATTAAACATTTTTAGGGATAATGCTCTCGCGAAAATGATTTGTCAATACATTTTTGACAAAAAAATTTGTTGCAATGGGTTCGCCATATGTACAGTAATGAATTCGCTATAAATGTTTCGCTAAAAACATTACGCGATATCAAATTCCCGATAAAATATTCATGATATAACACTGTAATATATGTTAGCTCTAAATGGTTCGTTGTCAACGTTTGGCAGAAATATATTTGTAACTTTTCTCTAAAATTCTTTTGCGATGAATAATATTATTGATGAAAATTATCGAAAAAGATTTTACGATTAATGTTCTGCTACATTGACTTGAAATTAATGCTACTAAGTTTAAGATACGTAATTGTATTCGCATTAATATTTTCGAGATACAACATTCACGATGTGTCCACATTGTATGCTGCAATCGGGAATTTCTACCTCTTTAAATCAATGACGATAATCCCCCTCCCAATTATCCCAACCCTCCCTAAAAATACTCTTTACCCCCCCCCCCCCTACCACCTTTCAAATAAAAATTACCCCTCCAATTTTATTCTATTATTCAAATTTTTCCTTATAACTATCTACTATCCTTTAAATTTAATGAAGATCTTGTATCTCCCCCCCCCCCCTTCCCATCATTCCGAAATAGAAGTCATTGAGGGCAATGTTTTCGAGGTAATACATTCGTAAGAAAAGTTTAGCGATAATGAATTGATACTAAAATATATTATTTTGATATTCAAATTCATTTGTATTATACTGTCATTTTATAAATTCTCACTCGGAACTCGGGTTCAGAGGAAACGAATTTGGTGTCTTAAATTTGTTTCAGTTATGGTTCGTAAAAATCTAATGAACCTGAATTCAGGTTCAGTTAGAACCCTGGTTTATATAGTTAATCCGTATGAAAATGAATTCATTTTTTAATTTCTATCAATACTACTCTTGGTTTGGAAAAATTGGGAATCCGTCTAATGTAACCCAATTTCTAAGTGTCTTCGAATGCTTAAATTACATGGATTTTTTTTACTCTATATTATATTATCATATATTACAACGGCAAATTATGTAAATTACTTTAATTTTTTTTTTGAATTAGGCAATGAGTTTGACATATTTTATAAAAAAATAATGTTATTCCTTTTTTTTACACACAAATAAGAATAAGACACACCTTCTTTAGTTTAACATATTGAATAATTAACCTTGTAAGGACATACAAATTTGAAATGACGGTCCAATAAAATCTACTCTTCTATCATTTTGAAGACTATAATCTAGGAATGTGTTATTTATCATAAATAAAAGTAAGGTTACACTGGCAAATTGCAAACAATATATACAAAAAAATATTGACAATTTTTTTTATTTAAAGTAAGAGTTTAAATTTATATTTTTAATTATGAATAGAATTGAATATTTTATAACGTTTATAAATTTCAAGAACAACTTTATTTGATTTAAAATGTGTTTATATACACATATAAAAATATGTGTATTTTAATAAACATAAGAGGGGAGGGGTACCTTTCTAATATTATAAATTATTATACAATCATTTATTTATAACCATAGCCATACTTTCTCTAATTTTTTATATCTGTTGGGTTTTCTTCTATATTTTCAAAGGTAAAATTTGAATTATTAATTATCTTATTATATTGAATTCTCTAGTTGCATATCTAATATATTTATGATGTATTATATAGATAAGAGACCGTAATGGTCAAAATTTTAGGTTAGGATTTTTTAAAAAAAAGATCTCTTAATCAGGGACGAGAACCCTACTTCTAAAAAAATGGGTTCGGGTTTGGGTGTGAAAAATTTCTGAACCCGGTTCGGGTTCAGATGGGTTCAGGGTCGGAGATCAGAAAAATAATGACTTATTAAAATTAGTTAAAATAATAGAAACATCATTTTAAAAAATTTATTTTAATTAATTTAAAAATTTTTACGAAAAATGGCCGACTCTTAAATATAACAAAAAAAATATTATTTTAAATTTAATATTTTTTTTTTGAATAAAAAAACAATTGTTTTAAATATAAACTCTTTATAGGAAATCTTTTATAAATAAAGATCGTAAATTTCATGTTTTTTATATTATAATCATATAATTTAAAAGAAATAAAATGAAAGTTTAAATTAAAAACAATAAATTTTTTAAAAATTAAGAAAAAAAGCTTGAACCCTGAACCTTAAATTTTAAAAAAGAGTTTGGGTTTGGATTCACCAAAATATCGAGGGTTTGGGTTCGGGTTCTCGTCCCTGCCCTTAATATATTTTTTGGCCCCGGCCCGAATGCAAAAAATATTTTTAGGCCTGGGCCGTGCTTGATCTTTGATATAAATATAATACCGCGCTAGCCAAAGGGGGGAAGTATAGAGGGACGAATCCCCCATTAACAAAAAAATGCAGATTTTGTTTAATATTTTTTAAAAAGCCTTCGCCATAATCAGTTATTTATTTTATTAAGTAAAAGAAGTTTATTATAAGTTCTCTCAATGAAATGGCAGAATGATCTGAAAAGAATCTTCTCAGAAGAAGACTCCGCATTAGATTCGATAAAATCCAATATTTTTGCATTGGAATGTGTATAAATTATTCTAATACGCTAGTATTTTATGCAACTCTTTCAAAAATTATTGATCATAAAAATCCCATAAAATATATTATCAGAGTTTAATAAATTTAAGGCAAGTGTTGACGAAGAATTTCATTTATATTATGGATTGTTTAATTAAAGCCAGAGCTTTGTGAATTTGATATTCGCCTACCTCGTCTCATATCTCTTGTTGGGTAATCGGTTTAGCCTAGCCAATGCCGATTTATTTTGGATATGGCTCAGCCGATTTTTTTGACTAATCTTTAGCCGATTTAATTTGAATAAAGCTAA